CTCTTGATGCAGCACACGAAGACGCAGCGCCACTCGTCCGCTTGGGCCACGGAATCGTCCGTGCCTCGGGGGTCTCCAAGATGGTGCGGCGGCAGAACGGGCGGTGACCTCGACATCCCTCTCAAGACCTCACCACGCGGTCCGTCACCGCAGCCTCCCAGATGGGATACGAGTACAGTCGGACCCAGAATAGAAGAACATCCTGCGAGAACATGAGACCCTCCGCCAGCCAGGAGGAGCGTTCGAGGGTTCCCTCCCCCAGGATGCAGAAGGATACCAAACAAACACGAAGAACATTAGGGTACCCTCCCCGAACCGACCTCGACCTTATACCTCGGTCCGACTTTAGATGGGTTCGGAGGATCGCGCCGCATCGCCGATACATCGGCGATGCATCGTCGATGCATCGGCGATGCATCGGCGATGAAACGGCGACGCATCGTCGACGGCGCCGATGCATCGGCGACGTCGACGTGAAACAAATCGGGCTTCACATCGACCCGCATCGGCGACGCAGCGGCGATGCGGCGCGATCCTCCGACTCCATCTACTCCGACCCCATCTGGGAGGCGGCCCCAATCGCCAAAGACATCCTCGGAGAACGCTCCCCAAACGTCCGACGTCGGGATTCTTTCCAGCACGGAGGTCCCCAGAAGCCCCGACCCTCTCCCCAAGACGGGGCCTCCCGTCCTGAATCGTGTTTTCACTTCCCAGGCAGGGGCCCGATGAGCACTCCCCGAGGCCGAAGACTGGGAAAAACCTCCGCCTTGATCTTCTCGATGCGTTGAAAATCTGGGCCCACCTCCCGAAACCGTGGCTCACCCCGAATCCGCCGATCCCTCGTGGGACTCTAGGCGCGTGAGATTCTTCCCCCCCATCTCGGGGGCCGCCGAGCGGGGGGGGGCCAAAATGGGGGAGGGGCGCAACTCATGGCCAGCAGCATGTGCGCCGCCCAGGGGGGGGGGGGAGTCGAAAACAAGCTGGTAAGCTTAGGTATACAGTCCGCCTTAGGCGCTTCCATATCCCAGGCTTAGGCTCATAGCGCATGAGCAAGAGAGCGAGACGAAGCATGGGATCTGGAGTAAAGAGTAAGATGGGCATCGCCAATGGAAAGGATGTTTTCCGATCTCAGATGCAAGTAGTGCGCCTCGGTGAGGCGCAGTCACATATTAGGCCGGGCCCGGCTTGAGCCAGGCACGGCAGCGGTACATGCTCGATTTATACCTCGCCTTTAACCTTCTCCGTTTAAAGTCGGAGGGGGAGGAGACGAGCAGGTACCGCACTTCTATTATGCGGAAAAACAGTGCTAAGCAGCAGCGGCTGCCTACAAGGAAAGGGCGCGCGAGTAGCCTCGCTACCGGCGAGTTTCCTCGCTGCTAAAGCGCACCTGCCCGCGGGTTTCCCCGCTGGCTCGGGAGGCAGGGCCGTCCTGAGACGACCTGGCCGCCCTATACGGCGTATGTTTCTTCAGCTCGTGCTTGAAGGATTGCTGGCCGGCCATTACTTGTAGGAGCAACGCGCGGTCAATGCTACCTTTGGTATGACCATCGGCAGTCATATCCCGCGTGTCACACCATTGGACGCTTTCCACGATTCCACGTTCCATCATCTGGCGAATCCAGCTGATGTGCCCAAGCAGAGTACACTCTGTGGGCTTCTTCAGATCCTTGCTAGACAAAGATTTGAAGACAGACTCGGCATCAATAGTCAGAGTGACTTTGATACATAGACCACCCATTTCCAATATGTTCTTCAACTGTGTGGGGGTCAATGGTCCCGAGTGTAGCTCGTGGAGCGTTACAATGGTCGGGTAGCAGTCTTCCAAGTTGTGGGCTGCTGCCAGTGTTTCCGCAGAGTAGCTCGAACGCACCTGCAGTCGATGAGACTTGCAGTATGCGTCCACCAGGTGCACGACGGGTTTCCCCGCTTGCGTGTGGCCACGCCTCAGCAGGTTAGCCCCGCGGATACCATAGCCTTTGACTTCGTCGTCTTCATCTCCGTTGAGACGACGATAGCCAGAATCGCTATGCAGGTCGACTTCTCCTGTTGGAGTCATAGCATGATACACGATCTTCTTCGGACCTGCCTGCAATTTTCTGGTAACCGCGTTTAGTCGTCGTACCTGGATGTTTGTCGGTTCTTGGATACGTTGTAGTGAGACAACATAGACCATTAGCCATACCTGCGTGATCAACGCATAGGCTAGAGCGCCACGAAGACTGACGAACATATCAGAAATTGTCTTCGTCGCCTTGCTTTCAGGATCAGCTCCTGTGAGTTCTGGATGTGTGATAGGACGAAGCTGTTTGATGTATTCGTCCTGGTCGAGAGTGACGCTCCCATCATCGGTCTTGTTGTACCGGACAGCACAGTTCGTGTATGTGTGCTTGTTCAGTTTGCACTTCCCAAACGTATCTTCAACACACTTGACATACTTGTCGATAGCCTCTTCCTTCCCAGTCATATTGATGTCATCAACGTGCTTGGCTGTCAAGAGGTTTGGGCTCATCTCGAATTCTTCGTCGTATGAAGTAGGCTGTAGCCCAAAGCTCCTAGTGATGGACCTGAGCTTCAGCGAGAATGCCCTGGGAGCATCCTTCGTGCCTGTCCCCGGTTTCAGACACCGGAGACAATGCTTTGATTCGTCATATGACTCAAAGCCTGGCAGTGTGCGAAGGACAGCTGCAGATCCAGGTGGTAGTGTGAAACACACCACACGTTCTTTCTCGCCCGTTGCCGCGGCGAGCTCGCCATAGGTCAGTCCCTTCAAGAAAGCCATGTTGATGTCCAGGGAAGCGATGATCCAAGCTTTGTTGCATGCAGCAGAACTTGCGAGCAGTCTCTGGCTTGACCTCCTTGCCGTGCCAGAGAAGGTTTCGACGTCAAAGGCTTCGAGGTCCATGAAGCCACGGAGTACCAAGCGTAACCGGATCGTCCTTTCCATTTCGCCCTTTTCGTTCTTGACAAACTTCCATTTGTATACGTAGCGTGACGTCATGATGTTAGACGCCTTGCTTAAGTCAGTCATCTGGAAGCATTTGTTGTCAAGCCAAGTCTTCATTCTGTGTAGAGGGCTTTGGAAACTTTGACCGGATTTGCTTGGATGTCGGCCTTCGTGAGTAGATCGTCTTCCTTGACGACCACGGCACGTTTGGAGGCAGCGCTAACGTATACTCGCATAGTTGTGACGCTGCTGTCATCCAACAGTCGGTGTTGCTGCTCGGACAGGACGACTTTGGACATGTCTGCAGTGAAGCAGAGCTCGATATACTTCCCGTGCTCATCGGAGTCCAGATCATATTTGCTATCCGGTTCCGTGGAGCATAAAGGAACGTAGTAAGAAGTGTCCATGTCGTATCCTGGCGGGTGACCCCGCTCCGGCAAGTGGCCTTGCACATCTTCACAGGTCGTAGAGACTAACACACACTGTGTGTCTGTCATGTATGTAGGAACTGTATGCATGACTTCCTCTGTGTCAGCTTCAAGGAGTGTTCTGTCATCCATCAGTTCAGCATACCACGACTTCAAGACAAAAGCATCCAGATCCTCTTCTGTCTCCTCTATGATGGTCGGGAGCCGACCATCGTTGTCCGTAGGAGGCTCCTCAGGAGCAGCTGCTGGAGGTGATTCGCTTGGTGGTGGACCATCAGCGAGTTCCTCAAACTTAGTGAGGTCTTGGTCAAACCCAGCAGACGGCTTCCTGGATTTAAGACACTGGATGATGCGTGAGTGTGTGGATCCTGTGATGTCATAGATGTTCAAGGCAGTGCCATCAGCTTCATAGTAATGAAACCCAGGGGTCACATCGTTATCATAGTGCACTAGTGTACAGCTGTCTGCATAGGGTGCGGCAGGCAGCTTCGTCAGGCTCTTGGCGAGTCGTACAGCAACAACGTTTTCAATACGAAAGTAGTTGCGTATGAGGTACTGAAGAGCCAAGTGCACCTTAGGCGAAAGTCGGCTCGCAGCAGTCATCTGCAGCCGACCCTGTTTCGCTGGTAGATATCCGAAAGTCATGGCGGGTTTCCCCGCTGGCAGACCGGCAATAAAGGCCAATACTGTCCGAAGGGCCGTATTGTCCGATCCTATCTCGCGGACCATAAGTGCTTCGATGTACAGTGTGTGTCGTGTGTCAGGATACTGTACTCGCACTTCGCGATTGCCGACCTTCACGATGACCTGGCCTCGGTCAGGTTCGTTGCGGATGACCGGGTATGGACCACTCCATCCACCCCAGTCGTCTTTCGTGGTGGTCGGACGGTGATAGTCCACGAGATCTCCTTCTTTATAGTGAAATTCACCCGTAGCAGTAGTCTTTGTACGGAGAGCCCTGTTCGTCTTGGCAACCGCAGTGGCCTGCGTGATTGCCTCCAGACTAACCCTCCTGATTGTTTCCTCCCTTGAGTGATCTGATGATTCAGTGGGCTGATCATGATCCAAGACAGGGAAATCAGGAAGCATAGCTGGCTGTCTACCATACAGCGCATTGTACGGAGACACTTCATTGTAGAAGGTAAATGCGTTGCTGGCAAACAAGGCTTCATGTAAGAGACGAGTGAAATTGAGAGGGATATTTAATCTATTCAATTCTTCTCCCATCACGTGTAAGAGGTGTCGCAGGATGCCGTTCCTAGCTTCGATAGTTGTAGCGTGTTGGCCACGCGCTCGAATACGAAGCTCTGTTCCCTTAGCCTTAAGGATGGCCTTTGCTGTATCATTATTCAGTGCTCCTTCCCCATCGGAGTATAGAATTTTAGCAGGGCCATGCTGCATCCAAGTCGTATGATAGGCATCGAGAACAGTATGCATAGCTTTATCAGGAATCTCTGTGCCAGCTGCCCAGCGAATACAACGGTCGATGATGTGAAAAACAATATGTTCCTGTTTATAAAAGAAGAGATCACATTCGACTTCTTCGTTGAAACGTCCTGGCAGTGACACGGAAGGCATCACCGTGTTGCCTGGTTTATCCCAGGCTCGACATTCTCTACACGAGTCACAAATGCCTTTGATCAGACTCAAACGGGTTTCACCCAGACCAACCTTGGTTAGAATCATCCGCAT